GCGGAATTTGGTGTGATTCAGGTAATTTTAATTTATTATAGGCACCTTCTATTAATCATTGATATTACAATTGCGAAAGGGAGAAATAATATTATTACAACATGGCATTTTGGAAACCTTTAAAAACGGAACAATACGAAATTTACCATCAATATAATAAAATTGTTTGAGGGCATAAATAATAATTATAATATGTTGTTGGCCAAAGGAACATATAACGGAAATTTTCTGCACATTATACAAATTATTATAATTTTTACATTTATCAGAAAACTTTTTTACAGACGCCTACGAAACTCATTAAATTTTATTGCCAGGCGTTTTTTACATATTCAACTGACTAGAAAGACTATACCAACAAACAGATTTTGAGGAAGATGAGGCGACTTATCACTATTTTGTAAGATTTTGGTGGGGTTAATAAAAGTTTTGGAGAAGTTCGTCTTAAAATATATATATTTATCTGAGAACTAACCAAAATCCGTAAAGAATATGGAAAAGCGACACTCACAGCTAATCCATCCAAAAGCAACAGAGATATCTGACACCGATCAGAGCAAAGTTCTATTAATAAATGTTAGGTATATACAATTCAACTGCGTACTTACGCATTTGTTTCCATCGTAAAGTGCTGTTTATTTGCCTAACAGATTGCCCCCCGACTTTTAATCCTTTTACACTGTGGAAACAAAAGCCAAAACAAAAGACACTCAACGTCGTCATTAACGCCGCGGCCCAGCTGCCAGCTTCGCCGAACGGAATCTTCTATGTTTAGACCTTGGCGGCGGCGGCGGCGGTGATACCGTTAGGGAGCCTAAATTTAAGGCCGGTGCCGTCACGGAACTCATCATTTCTTCAACACCTCGCAGAGTGGCAATTTTCTATTCCCGTAATAAAAGCGGGCTAGCTGTTAATGTGTGGTCGCGACGTTGATGACCCGCTCGTGAAAAACAATGCGTTTGCGGGTCGTGGATCGGGAAAATAGTGGGAGAGCATGAAAGCTGAAAAAATAACAAATACCTGAAAACGCTAATCGCTTTACTGTTTCGCTTGGAGATGTATATGGATTTGTTCAATTGGATTGCTGTTAGGGAAGTTTTTTGGACATTTACTGTAACTGTAACTTTAAAAGTTGAACCACACATTCATTTGAATCAATATTACTGCAGTGTCATTGCCTCGTTTGTATAAAGATATAAACTTTGATTGCGAGTCATATTTATACGAAAGTTAGCTTCGACTTTTAGAAACACATATCTAGTTTGTTTTCTCAAATTCCGTCGAGGTCAGTGATTATAGTTTACCTTTTGGAGGGTGATCTTTGGTGGCTTGAGACAGGCCTTTCATTGCGGTGGAAAAGCATTTTTTTGGAATATTCGAAAGTGTAGTAAAAATTTACATTGTCGGTTACGATTGACTGATTCAAAAATAGGCGATTTTCAATATGAAAGTACCAGAGAAAAGATTTTATTCTGGACATTGCGCATTCTGGATATTTAGTCCCTTATGCCCTGCGACTAAAGCAGGCCTCCATCCATCCTCCTATCAGCGCTCGAGGCTGGGTGGGCCGCGTTCCTGGACGGCGGCCAGGCCGTCGAGGCGCGAGCCCGTTAATTGAGAGATCGCTATTCGGCCGACCGGCTATATTTCGCTTTCGCGGGATCCGGCGATGTATAAATATTGTCGCGTCTGCAAGATATGATTAAGGCTTCGCATCTGCTCTGCCACCCGGCGGGAAATTTATGTGGGACCAACTGAGAGGGCCTTTTTGCTCCTGTGGGTCTCACGAAACCGAGCCTGGTGAAGGGAAAATGGAAATGAAAGCGGTAGAAAAGTTTGGGTGTTTTCAAAAATTGTATGCGAGTTGTTTAAATTTTCGTATTACCTAATTTACAATCAATGAAATGTAACATTGCATGTAAGACAAAAGTATGAAAGAATTTGAAGCGCACTACTAGCACTGGCCAGGATACGACAGTGCTTATTGAATTGCGTGGTTCTTGGGTGGACGTCCGAACGCTCTCTACGATGGCTCCGAAGGTGGCCCTGTAGCGAGGTCCGCGTCAAAATCGTAAAATTTATACTTGGGAAAAATGTTCTTCTATGGATTGTGACCGTTTCCAAAGAGTTGTTAAGTTGTCGGCGATGATTTCGCGTTTCGTCGCCTGCGCTGTCAGCATCATCGGTACGGCTGATGGCCACTGACGGCACTCAATGCGTAGTGAGTCGTCTGTTATTGTTTGTCTATGGTCCCGAGGTTTGGGCGAGAACTTGACCTACTAGGGTATTTTTCGAAAGGTTGTCGAATTCTTTGTTGAAACATACGTGGAAATTCGAAATCTCGGGACTGTAAATATTACAATATAGTTTTATTCTGTTCGAACGTTTTAACATTTGAAAACAATGTGAAACAAAGGTTACACAGTACGGAAACTATGTTTGCTCCTAACTTTATCACGGAAATATCTCCTGGCATATCTATGCGTGATAGTAAAAAAAATGAATAAGTGATATTTATTTAAAAAATGTCCAGGTCCATATTTGCATATATATCGCACAACATTCGTTTCTTTTAAAGATTTGTTAATATGACCGTCTTCTTGCCAATATTTTATTAGCGGTGTAATTAATATCTATAAAAATATATAATTTTTATAGCTTAAGGATGCCGTAAAAATGAAATAACGTCCGCCGTCCGATTGGTCTCAAAATATTATTCCTAGAACCGACATCCTTCATTCCTTTTCTATCTTCCACAAAATCATTAACTTGAATCATATCCAAAACAAACCATAAACAATATTCCCATAACATTCGGCAGCCATTTTAACGTAAACGTTTACGTTAAAATTTTATTGTTGTGTATCTAATAGAGGCTTAATTATTAATAATTGGCTGACTTCCAGTTCAAGATAAATATTCAAACGATTTTATGTTAATTTTATTGGTTGATTGGCAAATAACTGCCTTTCTTTAATTTAGAGCCCACGTTTCTGGCACAGACGGAGTGCTGGGCCAACCGTCTCGGCGATGATAGAGGAACAAAAAAAGATATTCATAAGAAATTAATGTTTACATCATAATTAATGTTTGGTTTTATAGTTGTATATGTTACGATACGCAATTGGGTAACGTAAAAACGAATCAAGAGTACCAGACATATTAGGCATTGAACAAATCGCCTTCATATTTTGTTTCAACTGTAGCGTCCGTTTTTTCTTGGGAGTCCAACCTCGAGTGCTTATAAGATCTCAGAAAACACTTGGGACTTCTTGTTTATGGATGGTGGTTGGGTGCTGAGCGAAGACAACAAATTGGATTTTGAATAGAACTTTGGGAACATTATCAAATATTTGTGACAGTTTTAGTACTGATTGTGAGTCTGGATAGGTTCGGTATGATAAAAATTTGGATATTAAAAATTTTTCTATATTGATCAGGATTCTGGAAAGGTCCTGTACCTATAATAATTTTAACTTTAACTGTATTTCTGAATATTCTTGAAATTTTAAATCGAGCATAGTCTGGTTTTGCAATATTTGGACGTTTCGATTGGAAACCAGAGCGAAATTTGACCCTCGCAGTCTTCATGCCACCCAACTATACTTCAATGCCAAAATAATAAGCATTAACGTCAAAAATAAACCAATATTTATGCAGAAAAAAGTGTATGCAGGTGGTCTTTGCCACAACGATGGAATTGTCAAAATACATACTTTAGTATAATTAAAAAAGTACGTACCTACCTGTCTGTTGGATATTCCGATATATCAAGGTGATTGTAAATTTGTATGGATAATCTAGTTTTTACCAAAACCTATTTGTTCATTTAGCAATTTTTGGAACCCTCTAAAATGATACGCGCATGGAATCTCATTCCCTCACCCGTCACATGGACCTATATGCTAAAAATAAGTCACTGCCTACTACTTTGGTATAAGTGCCACAAGGCAATGTTGGTACACTTTGAAGAAAATTAAATTAGGTACATCGTAACTTTTTAAGTTTATTATTAAACATTTTTTACACAAATCCACGGTATATGTGCTAATATTTCTCAAAATAGAAATGTATATTAACAGTTCAAAACGACAGACACTACTTTTTAGATAAAAAAGGATACCAGAGGAAGCATCCTATGACCTCTATGCCCAAAGAATCCGTGAAAGGATATAACAATTTGGATAAAGTGCCATCCCCAGTCGTTAGATCGAACTACATCTAGCTCCAGCTCCACCAAAACTTCCATAAACGACCAATTTAGAAAAAATACATGAATTTGTCACCGACGTCTATAAAGTCATTTTGACATTCGAAGCGGTCAAAACTGAACTACCCAGATTCCTTCACTGACACGAAATATGACAAGGATTTCTCCTAACACACTCAGATAAATGTGAATAATTAGCGCTATAAATAACAAACATGTTTCTTGAAGTTTTCTATCATTAAAAAAAAAAGTTACCCGTTCCTATTCAATTTACTTGAAAGCAATTAGAACTACAACACGTTATGATTTATTGGTTATTTTTAAACAAGGATATATTTCATTTTAATCGTTTTGCCTTGCCTATCAGCGACATTTAAAGAATAGAAACGATGATTAATAGTAAATTCTTAGTGACATATATACCATAGCATTATCGACTATTGTCTGGTACTAATTTATTATAGTAGCCATTTATTTATTTGGTTCTTATCTCTATATTATATTCTACATTATTTGATACAATCTACGTGTACCTATACAAAATACCCTGTCATAATGGAGTACGTTGATAGCCACGATGGTTACGATTGCTTTGTCCCCAGAGCTTATCATCAAATCATTCATTATGTTTAATAATGAAGTATATATCGCTCCTATCTTTAATGAAGTAGAGAATATCATTACTGTGTAGATAATATTAAATTGAAAACTAATCTGTGGGGGACAAATCAGGCGATTATCGAGGTCACCAAAACGTTACGATAGTTATAAAAAAGGTTTGTAATCTTACCAGTTGATTTTGATACGCCGTAACCGCTGTGAAGATAGTCTCGGGAAATATGAAGGTCTTGTACTCTTCATTTTCTAGGTCTGACACAAGACCGGACGCTCCTTCGGCCCTCTTCACCAGGTGTATTCTGGGTTGGTACTTGTGCATTGAATTCAACACCAACTGAAACAAAGACGAGGTTGAAATTTTTTTCAAACACCTACAAATTATCATTTTTTTAACAGGAAATGACAATATCGTGTAAAAACTACAGAAAACAAAAAAAAGTTTCACAAAGATTTTTACTTATTTAAAAAAATATATAATTAACAGTATAGTAACGCGTGATAAAACTGTGAATAAAATTAGTTTTAAAGAATGTTTGATATTGGCCAAAAACAACAAGGACAGAAGTCCTTAACCAATTTGCAGACTTGGTGTGCAGAAAACAAATCGCGCATTAATACAGGGTGTCCGGTAAGTACCTCCTAATCTCTCGGGAGTGTATAGGGGAGGTCAAAATAAAACTAGTCCTTCCTATAATTTTTTTTCCTAATGTGCCCCCTAACGGAGTTATGGGGGGTCAAAGGGGTACCTAGAAATTAACGTTTAGGGTTATAACTTTGAAACCACCCTGTATATTATAATAAAATTTTCGTACGTTGTATTACACATGGAGCTCTACGATTTGATGCTAAAATCAACTTTTTGCTATTATCAGGTGTCCAGAAACGGACTGGCCCTATCACAATTTTTCTCAAAATTTTGACAGAAGTAATTTTATCAAACTGAAAATATTATTATTAGATACTCTGAAGGTTTTTCTTTAAAAATGGTACTCTTTATTTATTTCGAAAAAATGAACGGTTTGCGAGATAAATCGGTTTTGAA